TTTTCTATTAAGGAAATAATTTTCAGGGATGATCAAATGGAGTTGCTGTGAACATTTACCATCAGAGGTTTACAATCTCCAGTGTTTATGAGATGACAATGGCAGTCTCATAATTCTGTTGGATTCCACCCAAAGCCTGGCCAGGACTCAGTGGGGAGAACCAAGGGAGTTTCTAACAGGCCAAACACTTGGGTTCTCACCCTTGAACAAGGCTGAGCCAGGAAAGTTGGATACATTCTCATGACATTTCATCCTCACTGCTGATTATATTTTCTCTAAGCTACATCTTTCACTAGTGAGCATACATATTTCATTAATTGTAAGATACTAATAAATAATGGTAATACAGATTTTACTAATTAACAGATACTAATAATGTTTGGTTGTGAGGTTCATCTAAAGGTCAACTTTGTTTCAGGGCCTATTATTCAGGCCCTAGCACTACAACTGGTTAATGTAATGAAAAATGTCTGTGAAAAAAAAATGCAGCACACATTTCTTAGACAATTTTTGGTGAATAAACAGTGAATCTTTGAGGTCTAGAGCTCATTTTTTATTGAACTCACTTCACCCATATCAAACATTTCAATTTTTTCTTGAAAATGTTTAATCTCAGACAAACATAACTCATCTGAATTGAACTAATGTAGGAAATGTTGTTGCCTTTGATCAGCCATTCCTCTGTAGTTACGGCAAGCAGCTTGCAGGACAAGGTAATTCAATTTCAGTGTATTTAGATTTTTATTTTTTTTTTTCCTGTTTCAGAAGAAAAAAACATCCAAAAACCCCCACCAAACCCAAAGCTTTAAGATGATACTGTAGGTTGGGTTTACAATTGAAGATTACTCCAGTTTTATTAAGTATTAATCTCTGTGTTAAATGCATCTCCTGGATTTAGAGAGGGAACCAGATAGGATTATACATCAAATGTTAGTACTACATGCATTTGTTAGTCTCCACAAAACAATATTGGGTTTCTGCTTCATGAACTGTGTTGTGCTAAAATGATAAATATAAACTTGGTCTCTTGCCTGCTACACTGATTTTGAGTAAATATTGTCTGATAAAGAGTATTGTTCATTTTTAATGTGACAGTTCTAAGTGTCACCAAGGGATCAGCCTCATTATGCCAGCAAAAACCAAATATAGTCCACAAATGATTCTATGAAGGAGTGTAATTTGTACAAGGGCATAAAGAAGTAAATAGGAAAAAGGTCAGAGAGTGATTAATAGAAGTTTGTGAAAATGAGAAGCTTCTGTGCATCTTTCTCCTTTAAAGTCCAAAGACCTTACTTGGTCTTTGATAGTCAATGGGATGCAATGAAAGTGCAGAGTCTAGTTTAGATAGAAGCTGCTTGCAAAAGTACACAGCAGCTGCACAAGACTTGGGAGCTGAGGCTAGTTAGCAGCCTTCTCCTTCAAAGGGTGATGTATTGCCAAAACCATTAAAATTAGTTGTTAGATCAATGAGTGGACAACATCAGATAATCCTTTAAGCTTGTTATTATGATATGATAATGTGTTTCAGGTTCAATTCTAACATATTTTTATGCCTAGCAAAATCTAGTATCTATAGAATTCAAAATTGATCTGTACTTTTGCATTGTGTTTATATATGAAAGAAGCAGTAGTCAACTAGCATTTCCGCTGAATTTCAAGACCAGAAATGTTCTCTTTCTTCTTAGACGAACCAATAGATTCAGCTAGAGCCTAGAGCTTCACATTTCATTTTCCTTGTAAATGATTGTTGCTTTAAACCATTTGTTATGGTTTATTTATAGAATAATACATAGTTCACAATTAAATGCCAAGCTATAATTGAATCAAAGGATTCTGCTGATGCCTCCACTCACAAGGGTACAGCTCAAGAGCTTTATAAAGGGCAGCAGAATCCGAGTCTAATTTACAGCCCCCAGTATTCAGTCTGGGATCATGCATTATAATGCTTAATAGGGCTAAAAGGATTCTTATAATACTGCAGTAAATAAAAAGAAAATGTATCAAACAGCAGAATTCAGAATGCTTGCAGAGGTTTTCAGTTTATGATACAGAGATTATACTGCATCAGAAATAGGGTTGGAATAAAAGTATTTTATAAATAAGTTTATGTTCCTAAAAAAATATTCTGAAGTTATTCTGAAATAAAAGGAAAATATATGTTTCATAGATTAATCCACAGTAAATTAATAATGGATATAACTGGTTCATTCCAGATGCCACATAGCTATTTTCTGGCATAACAGGGTAATAATTATGCTATAGAAGGAAAATATTAACTCACATAACTCTGATGATTTTTTGAATAAGCTTACAAACATTAAAAAGTTAGATTTAGTTAACCAGTGTGAGAATAATACAAAAATCTTGTATATTTTCTAGTATAAAAAAATGTCCTAGCACAAAATTGGTTCATAGATCCAATTCACAGACAAAATTATTTATTCATGAAAGAAACTTGACTGACAAAGCATACATTTTTAGGCTAAAATGAAGATTATTTTTTAACATTGATTGTTTTAGAATGTGTTTTCTTAAAAATGAGTAATGATAATCCCTTCACACTTTTTTCAGTACTGTCTGCTAAATTGTGATGTATCTGTTGGGCTGTAAGTAAGGACACCAATCAATATATTGTTATCTAGACATTTTATCCATGAGATGTCTACACTGGTTCCTCACACCAGGCTGTAATTAGTCCAGCAATTCCCTAATGTAGCCACGGTAACATTGCACAACTGGTGATGATGTGGAAGCTCATTGTATGCCTTCTAAAATGTTTCTGCATTTTTATCTGGCCCTCTCCAGTGTAAGATATAAAACAGAGAACTATAAAGGTATTGGTCATACCTCAAGATGAAATTTCTCTGTGGATTTGGGGTACAGTTCTTTACAGATCTTACTGGAATTGCAAGTATTCAAGAGGTAATTAGACACTTTGTTGGATGTATGTTTATTGAACAGCTCCTTGGGAAAGAGTGGGGAAAAGTTGGGAGCTTGTTTTCTGGTAACTATAAGCCTAAACTCTATGTGGGAAATCACAGATGTGTAAAGTCTAACTTAACATGTAGAAGAATATGATGATTTTTAATATGAAGGGCAACAAAGTCTACTTCACACTGGCATTTCTTTTTTCTACAAAGCATTTTATACTGAATTAAATCCCAGTTTTGAATAATACATAATACAGCCATGATAACTTTTCTGGGGTTCCCATTCTCAAAATCCAGCTGAGGTCATAGGACATTATTTCCAAAACTACTTTCTCAATAAGTTGTAGTAAATACTTTGAGAAAAATTAGAAGTCATGTAATAAATTAATAGTATTGATATAGACAAAAATGCTTGATGAATCCACAGATTAAATATTTGTAAAAAGCACCACAGAGATATACAATACTAAACGAAGGCATTATAGATTGCTTAAGGGATCATGGGGGATTGAGGTAAGCTAATAGTCTCTTTGTTGTTTGTTTTGTTGGTTGGTTTTTTGGGGTTTTTTGTTTGGTTTGTTTTTATTTTTAATTTTCATTTGAGTATTACTTTTTCCATCTGTCAATATCATGAAGGGAAAGAAAAAAGAAATACATTTTATATGAAAAAATTATGTTAATAAATGGAGGAAACATACTAGATTGGGCCAGGTAGGGATTTATGGAAAGGAAGCAGGAAAGGTTACAGGAATCTATGGCCCCTGTAGTAAAAATGCCCACAGAAAGAACAAGGGTGAGGGATGATGATATTTACTATTAAAGAGAATTAGATTGTCCTTCATGCTATCTCAGCAACTTTAGGAAACAGTAACAAAGACTTCATATTTAGTGAGGTGGTAAGTAAAGAGAGACAGTGGGAAGAGCTGGCTTTTGGAGAAACTCAGAAATAAGATGGGGCATGTGGTATATAAATATTTGAGGCTCTGAATTACAAAAATATTGTGCTTTAATTATGTAGGTCAGATACTTGCTTCAGTAGAAAAATGTTATTAAAGTAGGCCTTTGATGCAGTATATCGGCCAAAAATGTTCCTGTCTGCTTTGTAATACAAAGAGTGTGCATTGCAGGGGATTATCTGTCACAGATGTGAATGCTGGTTTTGTTTGTTGTCCGTTTATTTGGCTAGTTTTTAAAGTATCAAGAAAGATTTGGTAGAAAATACACAATGCATAAAGAGCTGCATTCCAAATTAAATATTTACATTAAACAAATGGTTTTCAAAAAATGCTGTAACCTGGCAAGTCCCACTGAGAGCAATTTGAAAATATATCTGTTTCTCCAAAGTGCCTAATAGAAATCTGAGCCCTTGCACAAGTTTTTTTAATGTTCTATAATTTTAAGGATTGAAGATGAAAGGACTCTCATACCAGTAATCTTTCATGCATTTCTGCAATACATGGATTGCCTACCAAACCAGTGACCCAATTTAAAATCGTTTTCATGAGTTTGCACAGGTATACACATGAAGAATCTATACTAAAATCTTTTAATGTCAAGCTGATCACTGAAACAAGACACTGATAAAACTGTACAGCGAACATACCATTGAAGTACTGTGTCACTCTTACAGAGATAATAACTGTTCAGGGGAAATAAACCACATGTAGAGCAAATTTGTTAAACCTCTTCATCATGGTTTAATGAAGTATGAATCCAAATTAATCCAAATTTCTCTTAGTTTTCAGATTAATCCAAAGTAAACCAAAGTAATTTTTTACTACTATCACTTAGCTGTCTGTCCCACAGATGTACTGAAGGACTGGGTAGCATTTCCCTTGACTCTTAGGTTAAAAATAATTTAACTTTTCAGTGTGAATGAAACTTAATGATTCAAATATCTGCAAAAAGCAAACAACTATTAATAACTGAGCAAGCTAAACCAAAATTACTTTAAAGGCAGATGCAAAACACTTCTTGTGATGCTTACCTTGCTGCTGAATAAAATATCCCCATATTTTTTGCGTTACGCTGGGAAGAGCTGTAGAACATTTCTCTATCAACTGAACTTACCTCCCCTTCTGTGGACTGTAAGTGCAGTTCTTTCCTACAGGTAGCCTTTAAGTCTCCTGCAGCTGCATTGACTTGCACTCCCCTGGGTGCTTCCATCACCAAAGATCTAGTAGGAGATTCAAGTCTGAAAGACAAAAGCAATCACTAAGAAAAAATTCACTGAAACAAACCACCAAAACCCACCTTCCTCAAAACTGCATGTAGGTATACATGTATTTTGAAAGATAAAGAAGTAAAAATTAGTTATACTTGTGCTTCTCTAGCTACTCTATGGCCTGGAAAAGAAAAAAAAAAAAATTATGTGTTTAAGTCTATTCTCATTTAAGACAGCATTTAAGCCTATACTGATATAAGCTTGTCTGCTTAGTGATGCTTTCTGGCATTAGTACCTAATTTACCTGATTGTACTAATACCGAAATATAGGTACTTAAGAATCCACATATCTCCGTTGAGTGCCTCTGTAATGACAGGTTAATAACTAAAGCCTGTTTAGTGACCTATGAGAAATATTCAACTAATTTAAAAGAGAACAAAATGCTTAAAAAGTTTTAAATAATGATGTAAAACTAATTAGAATGACTTTGCCTTCACAGTCTTATCCATATTTTGTGTAGGTATAACAGCATTATGTATGAAGAGAGGAAAAGAAAATCTATCTCTGTTATTGTGGGGGTTTTGCATGCTTTTTCTGTTCTGCAAAATACTCATTATAATCTTTAACCCTGTTATAACAGGGTTAAGACATGTACCATTGTGTCTTAGTATCTTTCCTCAAAGCAACTATTGTTCTTCTACTGTCAGTTCTTCTCTTTCTCTTTATCCTATACTCAAGATCCTCCATCAACCTTAATGCAGAACTATGATACTTTCTCAGCTATGTTATCTCATAGTATTTTATAGGTTCCTCTTGAAAGAAAAGTACTAATGCAATGATTTTGTAGAAGTCATGCTCACACACTGAATAGGAAAGATGATCAAATGAAAACTGTATTGAACTAAGAAAAAAAAAAATGGATTCTGGTTATGTTCAGCTGTAGACTTATTGCATAGCCTCATTAGGAGGGAGACAAATCTTTTAATCTACTTGTATTCCAATAATATAATGACAGAACACAGTTCCTCTACCTGAACAAAGATTTTTTGTAAAATGAAATATATTAATGATAGAAATGTCTAGAATGAGTAGCTTGAAGAAAACATTTTATATCCCTCTTCAACAAATTGTATTTTGAGTGTTAGGTCACATCCATCCAAAAATATAATGAGGTACTAGATGTATAAAGGAAAGAATAGTCTGACAAAGAATTTGCTACAAAAAAGCCAAATGAAAGATCTGTCAAGAAATGGAACAAGAGAATTCCAGTGTATTTCAACGATTGAATTTTTAAGTGTACAGAATAGTGATGGATTATCACTTTGAAACCAAAATGCCACATTTGCATGCAAAGTCACTGAGATGGTGTCTAAGAAATATTTGTTTATAACATGTCACTAACAGTCAATAGGGAAAGGGGAAAAAATAATAAAAAAAAGGAAAACAATTATTTGGCAACACAAACTTTAAAAAGCAGGTGTCCAGATAGAGGATAACACTTTTTATATAAGTAGTTACCTATATAAAAAAAGCATTCATGTGTTACATACAGATAGCAGTAGAAAAATCTGTTAGTGCTAAGCCATTTTCTTTCCTTTTTTTGACACTTTGTAGGGAGCAGTTAATAGAAGGTTCTGCAGTTTTTTTTGTACCAGGGAAAAATCTAAATATCATGAATTATTTAATCATATACATCAGTGTTTTTCAGGTGGTGGTTTGCAACCTTCCAATGGCTATAACAGCAGAAAAAAAGCTTCCTAGAAACCATATAAAGTTTATAAAATTAGATTTTCTGAAGTATTCTGTGGCCTCAATTAGGTTTTACCTTGAATTGAAAAGGAAACTGAGCTGCATAAATGTTCGGTGATTGGATACTTCCATTTCATATTTTTCAGCAGCATATTTTTGCAAGTTATAACCTACTTTCTGGGAATATTAACATTTCTCAGTGGTTTCAGCTGCCATTTCATAATCATGAAGACAAAAGTGCCCTTAACTACATTTATTGCTTCAAATTGATGGAATTAACAAAGTCAGAATTACTTCTCGTTTCATAACACCAAAACCACACTCAGACCTGACTGAAATTTGCAGGTGGACAGTAAAAATCTTAGGAATATCTTTCAAGAAACTATGATTTTGTTTAAAGAGTAATTTCTGTCTCTTATACACA